AGTCTTGCAGTCATGCAGCTACAATACTATCGAAGGTAGCTCGCTGGCTTTTTGTTTATCATAACTTGCCCTTTCTATGACTGATACGTTTGATGTTATCTAGTTACTTAGCTAGCTAGCTAATTGTGATGATACCATACCGCTGACCAGAACTGATAACCTTACAGTAACTATTACAACATAACATCCACACACAGTTCTTGGTTTCAATGGCTCATTGTATAAGTATTTCAGTCTAATCTCAAATGGCAATGAGGTAGGTACAGAATCAAGGTGAATTTTACAATCAAATAGGAAATTACCAACATAACCTAAACCTACTAGTTAAAATGGAACTGTGTAAACTAGTCAACTGTGAACACCATGTAAACTAGTGTTATGTACTGTAATTGACTATTCTAACAGTTTTTTGTTGAAGGTGCAGAATGCTGTGTATGGAGGATTGACAGGGGTGTCCTGTACAGATGAGCAATGCCAGTGGAACTTGGGGACGCAGCGGAATTTAGCTCCAAAAAGGTTGAGCGAGATCTGTTGAGTTCTCTGACAGCACCCCGGCCGCTTCTCCATCTCTACCTCCAACCCCTGCGTACCACTCCCACGACGCACTTAAGAGTTTGGAAGGGGCCAATGTTCCAGTGGGAGCCTTCTGCACAAGTGCATCAAAGCTAAACCAAACAGTCATCAAGTTCCAGCAGCAGCCACACAGTACAGCTACAGTAGCCTACAGTAGCCTACAGTAGCCTACAGTAGCCTACAGCAGCCTCATGGTGAACACGGCATCAACATGCAGTGTCAGAAATGCTCGTCATTTTATGACGTTTATGTTAAGCTGGATGAGTGTAAATGTGCCAGCTTGGAGGAGGTCACTAAAGCACAGAGTGCCTCCTATGCGTGGTATGACGCACTTCAACTTCGGATCACTGCTAGCTCAGCAAAGAAGGTTCCTGTGCGCACCTCAACAAATCCTGACCACTTTGTGCAGGAGCATCTCTTCCCCAGGTTCCATGGGAACTCAGCTACCACATATGGCAAGGAGAATGAGCAGGTGGCCAAATGTTCTGAGTAAGAAGTGTGAGTCTCTGGCAAACTCTAATGGAGCCTGTGGGTACTACATGCAGGTGCAAATGGGCATGTTCTGCACAGGACTGGAGAGATGCAAACTGCTATCTGGGCTGGTTGTTGTTGTGCCTTTTGATGTGAAGTTCTGTGCTGATGTTATCCTTAAACTGAAGGCATTCTTTTTCCCACATATGCTGCCAAGGATAGTATATGAGTTCGTCAGGCAGACTAACTGGGCTCCAAATATGTTCATCTATGTGGTATCTAGGCTCGGGCCTAATACTTTGTTTTTTAAAATAGTTCTTATATTTTGTGCCTTGTAAAGCTCTCTGTCAGCTGTACCTTATCTAAGCATAACTATTGATTGGTGTTTTTTTGTCTTGCACAGTTCTCTTCATATGCACATTTACCTGATTATATTTGCATAATTCTTGCCGTTTTTAATGTCTTGCCTTGTACAGCTCTCTTCATACAGTCTCACAATGGGCAGAGTAGTCCTCTCTGGTAATTCAGAAGGGATGGGAGTGCAAAGGAGCGCAAATTCCCACTCTGATTTCCGTGATTTGGCTGATGTTGATTTGGCTGATGAAGTTGAGGAAAATGGCCACTGTGGCTCTTCCAAGACCAGGTCCTCACCACATCCACTGCTTACCTTCTTAATGTCATCCAGCATAATTCCAACCACATTCTCTATTTGTGAAAGCTCTCCTGCTGTCACCGTTTGGTCAGATTTCGACAGCTCTTTCTGGATGGAAATCAGAATATGGCTGAGGTTTTCTTTGGCTTGTTTTACTAGTGTGAAATAGTTGATCATCTTTGTCTTCAGATTGTGGTAAACAGTCTTTGCAGTTGTCCAGTTCTTCTTCTCAGATACTTCCACACCAGACTGGGAGCCTGCGGGTGCGGCCTCAGTGGCTTCAGAGATTTTCTCACCCCTCTCTTGAAGCATAGAGTCTGCCTGCCATAGAGTAGTAGAAGACTCTGAGGATGGGAAAAGGCTCTTCATATCGTTTGCAATTGATCCAACCATTTCAAAAGCAGCTGCAGCTGTATGCTTTGAGGAAATGGTTGATGTTGCTGGCAACATTTGAGAATCTGTCTGGTGGAGAGATGTTGACTGGCTACTCCGATAAAGATGATTATAGGCTCCGTCTACTTGTCCCTCTAGCCCAGAGAGGAGTCCTATCGCCCCCCTGGGCTGGACCTGTGGAGGGGTCCACACAGACCCAAAACACTAACAGCTTCACTACTCCCAGGCCTATGTTTAGGGTGGGGGAGGTGGAGACACAATGTTCCAAGAAACCATTTCCGCTCTTTTAGTCATAACGTTATTAAACAGTTGGTCAAACAAAACATTACGTTCAGTGATTTGAGACCGATTTCATTTGAACAGACAGTCTCATTTGCCAACTCACTACTACCAAAACAGTGCTACAGCTACACGCATAACAATTGAACACACATGGTTTCATTTGTGTGAATAAAACAACATTGAGAGGAAATACTTGACTGACTGTCCATTCATACTCATTCAGCCCAAAGGCCTACTAGTAAAGACTGGAGATCGGAGACGAGGTCTGTCGAAGTTGTTTAATAGGTGTCACATGGAGGGAAAAGAAACACTCCCACTGTTAGACCTTAGAGAATCCTCACACTGCCTACCTGGGTGCTTCACACTCCCTCGTCTCCTGGGGTGGGTTCAGGGAGGTGAAATGCTTGGGTGTAAGTTACCCGGACGCTTCATAGCGCTAAAATAATCGTTATAGAAGTCCATTGTAGGCAATGGTTGTAAGATGATCTCAGTGCTATGAAGCATTCGTAAAACGCGCCGCTGAAATGTGCACCTAGAAATGTAATGAATAGAGCTAACTCTATTCTCCATCTACATGACAGATATTCCCATATATTTTCTAGACAATACATTTCTATGTGAACGTTTCGTAACGTTGCACCCCCGTAAACAAGACCCAGCGCTCATACCGCCATCAAGTATTGAGGTTTATCAACAGTGTCAGTTGTCTAGTTCACACACATTTTCAACATCAGTCCTGTTGTCATTACTCATGTAGCGGCCATAGTCAACACACACACCTATAACACCGGTTTAGTCATATTTGTTATATACTAGGTAGGTGAATTCACACAGATGTTTTATGTACTGGGGCCTATTAATGGGTAAGCGAACTATGTTAGCGTTAGTCTTCCGTGGTTTACCTGAGCTCTGAGTGATGGCTGAATTAGACGGCTCCTACCCTTAGCCTACGGCCCAGTCCCAAACCAACCACTAGCACCTAAGCTCTGTGACACTTGTGGAGATCTAAGAAGATTGGATAGATATATAAGCAATATGGTGAAGATTATATCAAGTCTTTCAATTTCCACATTGCCTATACCTATATAATCATCTCAGCATAGCCCAGTGAAAAATATTACCAGGAACTCCCTTCCCCCTCGTCAACAGCGCCCCCAACCCAAAACACCTTCCTGCGGCCATGCTCTCAGGTCTTCACAAGTGTATATGGTGCAGGGGCTAGGAGTGAGTCTGGGACCGGGAATACCTTTCTACATAGAGGAGTCTGCAGTGACAGGCTAGCTTTCAGCACTCCCTACTAGATAAAGAGGATTTCATAGAGACATCTCCTATAACAAACATTTCATTAAGAAAAATACACCTGAATTCTCTTTATGTACAACAGAAAAAAGAAAAAAACATGAACCTGCATATTCAAGATCCATTTTTAATATTATGTATATTTTTCTGAATTAGAAATATCACTATTTTCTGAAATGAAGACCTTCAAACTAGTGTAATAATGATCATTTCACCAAATCATTGAAGTACAATATTTACATATATAATACAGAGCCCATTATTTAAATCTGAAACAATATTAAAATAAATGTTCAATAGATACAAAGGTTTTTAATTCTATTTATATTTTTAACAACCTTGTTGGGGGAGTCCTTGCACATTCTCTTCTAACAAACTATTAAGTGCAAATAATTCTATTTTTTCCTTCTTTAAAAAAAACTATGATTGCAGCGTCCAGACAGAGATTACTCGCCACAACCCAAGTGCATCCAAAGGCCGTCTTCAACCATCTTGTTTTTGTCAGATCATAATTATGAATAAAAATGAACAGAAAACAGAAACAATAAAATCAGTGCAACATACTCAAGCTGTGATATTCTGATTTAAATTCAAAAAGCTGTTTTTCTTGTAGTTAAAAGAAGCAAACTGCTCCTGTCTCCCTTTGCTGTGAACGTGTGATTCAACTCCACCAGGGTTAGTCAGGGATGAGGAACTAGCTGAAAGAGGTAGCACCTGTCCCAAGACAACACCTAGCCCCTAATACCTAGGCTAGATCTGAGAGGACTGAATAGTGGAGAAATGTGCCTACTACCATATTGATTAAACCTATCCAAGTCTTTCAGATATACATGAAGTGCCTAGGGGGTAGTAGTGGTTAGGGGTTGTTTCTGGAGGAGGCCAAGCTATTAGAGACAAGCCCAGTCTGAAAACAAGCTGTAGCTTTTACAGGGGTTGTTTTTGGACCGGGCAAGAGAATGTTGAGAGAGGAAGGAAGGCGTAAACAAACTAAACACATCGCAGCCAGCCTCCCTCCCTCTCTCTCTGAACAACAGTTTAAATCCTCCTGGACGATTTCAAGCGTTCTGCACCTTTCACATGATCCTTTACACTCTTTTCAGACTGTGGGTCACTCCATCTACCCTCAATGGCCAACGTTAGCCATCCATCTTTCTATCTAAAGATTAACAGAACCAAAAGAGCGCTTCAGTAGTGGGGATTGTGATGAAGGTGAGAGAGAGAAGAACAGCGCTGCAGGGCTGTGGCGAGGGGTGGCCAGGTCATCCTGTCCCGTCATGTCTGTCTGTGGTCTGGTGGAGCTTGGTTTAGTTAAGCAGCACTAGCACCAGGGCTATACTACAGTTCCACTAGGAGAGTTGGCCGGGTTCTGAGATGACAGTAAGCCCTGCGGAGGAGAGCAGAGGGGAATGAGTTAGCGGAGAAGAGACGGTTTTTGGACACTCCGAACGGCAAAACAATTTGAATTCAAACTTGTGTCATTGAGGGGAAACGGTACATTTTCACTACCATAAAGAAAAACAAATCAAGATCCTGGATTGATAATCACCCTTGTAAGCGAATCACAGTGGGCAAAAGAGGATACTGCGTCGCAAACCCTACCTCCCCTCTCAATCATTTTCAGAGATTTATGAGAAGTGTCTAGGCGTTGGATGTCAAACTGAAGTGTCTGGGGTTGGAAGTGGCTAAGGGTTAAGGGTTAAGACTCACCACTTTCCCAGGCCTGGCCCATGTGCAAATGAAGCCCTCCTGGCAGGCTGTGACCAGACAGTCCTCCAGGAATATTAACACAGTGAGTCTTTCGTGAGCGATCTTCTTACACACCAGCGGCTCCAGCAGAGGAACCTCCTCCATGCGCGGACACAGCAGCGTGCCCAGAGTCTTAGCGGCGTCCGCCTTGGCCGTCCGCGCCGCAGAGCTCAGTTGGTTGAGCTTGTCACTGCTCTTGCTGCTGATGTGGCCCATGCTGTGGTTGCGTTTGTGGTCCTTCTCGTGGCGCTCCTTGCGCGTGTCGTGCAGCGATAGCGTGGCGAACTTGCTGACGCCCGTAGCGATGAAGGTGCTGTCGATGATGCTGCTTCCTTTGCTGCTGCTCGTGTTGCTGTTAGATGTGGTACTGCCCCCTGCGGGGCCGGAGGAGTGCGGCAGGCTGTTGGAGCGCGGCAGAGGGGCGGGGAGCGAGTTAGCGGGGGCGCCACTGTTACCACTACTACTGCTCATGGTGTTGTTGCCATTGGTACCAGGTGGGTTATTAGTAGTAGTAGTAGTAGTAGTAGTAGTAGTAGTAGTATTAGTATTAGTATTAGTATTAGTATTAGTAGTGGCCACTCCAGTAGCTGGGGGGCTGGTGGCACTCATGACGTTAGTGTGAGTCCTGGTGCGGGACAAGGGCAGGTGGGGAAACAGGATGTCCTCAGTCAGGTCCCACAGACACAGCTGGGTGTCCTGGCCCACCGAGCCGAAGCGATAGGTCACGCTGACTGGCCTGCCGTCTGTAGAGTTCCTCTTGGAGAGATGTGATTGGGAGCTGTTGGCCCGGTCCCGCCCCCCTCCAAAGTGGATCTGCTCGTGGAACTCCTCGTCGCTCCCGCTGAACTCAGCGGGTGGGTCGCTGTCCTCCACACTGGTCGTACAGTGGTCGAACGCCACCACGCTCACCCACGACTTGTGGCCATGGCCCCTGGCGATCACCCTGCAGTCGGAGAAGGACCAGACGGTCACCAGGTCGTCCTCCCCCCCGGCCACTATGTATCGTCCGTCTGGGCTCCAGCACACGCACAGCAACCCGCCAAAGTAGCTCTTCATGGTGCCGTGCAGCTCTGCTGCGTCGAAGCCAAACACGCGCAGGAAGCCGTCCTGGCTGGCGCACGCAAGGAACTTCCCATCGGGAGAGAAGGCAAACTCGTTCAGCGCCCCCTCGCCCACCGTCCAGCGCAGTAGGGGGTTGCGGGCCGACTTGCTCTTGCAGGTGTGCACGGCGTAGCCATCGCCCTGTTTGAGGAGCTGGTAGTGGGGTGGCGTGGTGCCACAGGTGTGCTCTACATTGTACAGGTACAGGCTGCCGCTGGAGTGGGCCACTAGGAAGAGGCTCTCTGAGCCAGGAACCCACCGTACACACGTCACACGAGACTTGTCTATCAGTCTCTGAGGGAGAGAGGGGGAGACAGTGGCTTGTCAGGGAGAGACAAATAACTCAGTGTTGTCAGACATGAATTCAAACAACATATCAACACTAGCATAACACTTAAATGGATGCCTAATACATTGGATATTGGAACGGAACCTTTACTCTCATTTTGCATTAGAAAACAGTTTCCTCCCAGTAGGCAGTCAACAACATACATTGATATTCAACCACAGGACACCCATCTTAGCCAGCCTGGCTAAAGTCAACTCTGCTAAACCTACCTCCTCATTGAAGAGCTTGCTGGTCTCCTTCTTGATTGGGTCGATGAGCTGCACCTGGCCAGCCGAGAAGCCCACCAGCAGGGAGACGCTCTCCGCTGTGGCTGTGAGGGGGTTGAAGTCATGACACGTGGGCTGCGTTCCTTTGTATATCCTCTTGTCTATGGGCTTGCTCAGGTCAGCCGCCTGGAAAGATGTGGAGAAACACAGGACACAAAGTCCGACTCAGACAGGCACAGCAATTATCTTGAACATACACCTCAGTTATTTTCCAGGCCATTCCTCCTGTCTATATAAGACCTGCAGATAATGCACTGACCTAATGAGAAATTGTATCATTTCCATGTAAAAGGACCCATGAGCACCAACGTGAAGTTCATAGGAGAATGTCAAATTGGGTGTCAAATGAAAGCTAAGAGTCTATAATGTTGAGGAATTAAGGCATATATAAATTGTTCAACCATTTTCCATCCTACAAACTTGGAATAAGCAAAGGCTTTAATTTCTGGTCAAACAGATGGAAAAGGGGTTTTAGAAAACATCTACCAGAAAAAGTCCTAAAAAGGAAATACATAACAATGTTCAGCATTCTGTAAGTTTAAGAAACATTGCCTTGTGCCTTAATTCTGTTACCAAAAACCCACATATCTTTAAGATATTTTCAAATCGCTCTACCTCATGAGGGAGAATAATGAAAGTTCACAGAAGTAACAAGTAAAGGTAGACCTATTAATTAGTTCGTGTTTTTACGGATAGCAAATGTGTTTATTAATTATTCAAAAATTACAGTAATGGAATTTTCTAAACAAATCGGTACGAGAATTTCTGCAATTGAATTGGCTACAATGGGAAATCATAGTAGCCACAAACCACAGTTGAGTTCACAAGTTTGGACAGCACAGTAAAGAAAAGTAGAGTATTGTCAGAGTTGAGTACACTATAATGTACTGTATTGTACTCCACTCTACTGTACTCTACGGTGCTGTACTTTGATGTCCAAACTTGTGAAACATAGACGTCTATGATTGGTGCAGATTTGGTGCGGTCTGGACCAATCAAATTTGGTAGTTTGGGGGCAGAGCTCATTAAAATAATAGTGTAGAATAATACCCAAACGCAAAGGAGGATATTACATAGTTCTACCTTTGTGTACCTATTTAGGATACATCACCATGGAGAGTGAAATTCATATCCATAATTATGCATTTCTGTATAGTACAGATCAGGGACCTATGATGAAATTCCGTTACCGGGTTTAAATCCACTTCACTTACTGTAGTTCAATAACCAAAAGACGTGTCATGACATAGCTGACACCCCATTCTTTCTGCAGACATCGTTGAATCTTAATTCAGAGCAGATAGTTAACAGAGTTCTTGGAAAGTACCATGGATATAATCGGCCTATGGTTATTGGTTTGTCCAGGACACATAAACTGAGGGAGATGTTACCAAACTTAGCATCTGCACAGTTCTTCCAGTATTTTGAGTAAATTGTTAAAAGCATAGTTGTATGGTTTACTAGAAAATTTGAAATAAATGTTTTTTGTTTGGCATACATTTTAAGTGAAAAATCTGAGTCTCAGCACAATTCCCTTACCGTGGAATTGCCCTATAGCAACAATATTAGTAGAGATGCAACGATTCACCATCGATAAGCATCGTCCCCAGTTCAAATGTTTAAGATACGAGTGCAACGGCCTGGTCTGCTGGACCCAAATGATCCAAATGTAACATGCATCGGTCAGAAAATTATTTTAAAAGCATGCACCGGTCAGAAAATCCATTTAAACATTACGAATCCCCGGTTCAACCTTGCGAAAATACCTCTCATCTTTTATGACAACTGCGTCCGCTCTTTCAGTGTCGAGCTAAGCATGTAATTACGTTGACAGTCATTGATCTACAAGTCATTTTGCATGTCGAACAACCCCAGGCAATATCAGTAGCCTAGTCAAACTGCGCTGTGCCGAGAGCTGACCAATGAGAGGTAGGCCTTTTCCTGATCTGGCACATCTGCTCGTCACCTTCAGCATTACAATGTTTGTAAAATGGCTTGGGCAACATTAGGCTTTATTAGTCAAATGACAACCAAGTAATTAGATAGGTTATTTTTATCAAATGTGTGTTAAATTGTGTTTTACCAGAATAAAAATAGCCTAAGCTACCACCGGGGACAACTCATCTGACTATATGTAGGCTACATGCGGATCGGGGCTAACATTAGATTTTATTTGATTGTTCAGGTTCACCATCACCAATAGTTTTGGTAGTTTTGCTTGAAACAATCAGTATATATGCGGGCCCGGATCCACGAGGGGGCAAAAGGGGGCTTAGCCCTCTTTGTTGAAACTTGTGCCCCCTCAGTTTTAAGTTTTATATCCCAATATAAAAATAGAATGATTGAGTGACAGGTTGGCGCAAAATCTGTATCTCCGCTGCGTTGTGTCAGCACAATGGACCAGAGCGTGCCACAGTGTATATAGGGGGACTATGGAAAGCCACTGGGGTTGGTTAGGTATGACTCCTTTGGGTTTCCATAAAAAGCGTGGAAACACACTTCACCTATGGTAGGCTAAGTGAATAACATGACACGCCTCCACCTGTAATATTTGATTTAGATTTATAAGGGCGGGAGTCAAGTTCACAGTTGAAGCTGCTTCTCTCAACTCTCCCTCATGCCCCACCACTACAGAGTTTAGTTAGTGTTATTAGCCTTAGCCTATTTAGCTAGCTCGAACCAGCTAATCTGCCACGATGGATATCAGAAATTGGCTTCGCTAAAGTACTCAAACAAAGCCAAAGGAGAAGGGGACACATGGCAACTGTGTCAGTGGTTGTTAAAAGTTGTGACAGCATTATGAAGTTCCTCTCTGACATTGAATGCCTGTGTTTGTACAACACAGAAGTAAGACTCGAGGCTACATGGCTGCTGAAGGCGGTGACAGACCCTGGCTTTAAGTTTACAGCCACAATGTTCACAGAATCAGTCTTCTCGATCCTCCAAACAAATTACTCCATGCAAAAGCAATGGATCTGTACACTGGAGTCAAACTGGTCCGCAGTGCGTTGGAGTGTGTTGAGAAGCTGAGGTGTGACAGAGTTCGAAGCCATTTGGGCACAGTTCAGTGCCGATTCACCACCAGCTCCAAGCAAACGACAACGTTATGTAAGTACAAATCTCCAGCAATATGTGGTGGACAGTACAATAGGCCACTAGGACAGAGAAGAGACTGAGTGTAAAAGACTGTTCTTGGATGCGTTCATTGGTGAAATGTCCGAACAATTCAGCGAACGCAACAGCCAACTGGTGGAGGCCCTGAGTGACCTTTGACCCAGAGAGCCATGACTTTCCAGATGTGAAAAAGGTGAAACCACTGCTGGATCTAAGCTAAACAGATTTGGTGGAAGCTGAGTTTAGTGTCACTTGCCAGTTTTTGCAGACTGAAATCGCCTGCTCCGGCTCCAATGAGGACAAATGGACCCACTTGATATCGTGCAATGAATCTCTGGGCCTCTCTCTGCTATGCCGACCGTGCTTACTGCACATGGATTGACTTTTGGGGCATCCACAGCTTCATGCGAGAACTCATTTTCCACTTTGACAAATTATTTCAGTCAGCACAGAAGAAGCATGCTACACCCGAGGAAAATGTCGGTAATTTAACAGCTGTTGTCAAATTCATAGATGTAAAACATCTAAGAGCACTGGGTTTGTGGACAGCTGGTCGGTACTAGGCAGTGTGTGGTTCAGCAGGACACTGCAGTTGGATTTGAGGCTCCCCGAAAGTATAGGCTAGGTTATCACTGGTAAGATAATAAGTAGTTTTATTGGGGATGATTAGGGCCAAAAGTTTTTCCTGTCCACGTGAACTGACAAGGAAAACTCCTGGCCATAGTTCTACCTAAAGTTTTTCTGAGGAAATCCAGAAAGACTCCTGGCCCAAGGGATGATACTGTAGAAGTCAGTCTGTGAGACCCTGGTGATGCAACTGAGTGGAGAACCATTGGAGGCAGTGAGGGAGATTATAAGGCTATGTCATAAGACTGTTGACAGATCTGTCGGAGCAGGGCCAGCACACTTTGATATGCCAAACCAATAAACATAGGCCTATTCTCTCCATGGTACTTCAACTTTTACTAATTTCATGTGAAACTCATTCAAAACACACAAAAGACAGGTAATTGATTAGGCCTAGCCTATGTCTCAGGAACATATCTTGCTGATCTGTGTAACTTCAGATGAAAGACACCATGACAAATGCAATCATACACACACACCAAGAGCCACAACAGGGATCACATAAATGCTCTGTCAGACCTGCTAACTCCGAGCTCCAGCACATTCACATTTTAGTCATTTAGCTAAAATTTAGCAGACGCTCTTATCCAGAGCGACTTACAGTTATATATTTTTCCCCCTGTGGGAATCGAACCCACAACCCTGGCATTGCAAACGCCATGCTCTACCAACTGAGCTACATCCCCTGCCGGCCATTCCCTCCCCTACCCTGGACGACGCTGGGCCAATTGTGCGCCGCCCCATGGGTCTCCCGGTCGTGGCCGGCTACGACAGAGCCTGGATTCGAACCAGGATCTCTAGTGGCACAGCTAGCACTGCGATGCAGTGCCTTAGACCACTGCGCCACTCGGGAGATTAAGTGAGGACAGTGAGTGAGTGACTGAAAATTAATGTCAATAACCAGGTTCGATTAGGGGTGTGAACGTTTTAAAGTTAAAAACGTTGAAACGAAATTGGGATCCTTAACGTTAAGAAAAATGTAGTTTTTTTTGTCCCACAAAATTTAAATAGCAGTGCAGTTATCACAAAACTAGATTTTCCGTGTTATAGCCTAACTAGATGACAGGCTATAAAAGGCCTGGGGAAAGTTGTGTAATTTAAATAGAACTTTAGGCTACTTTGATGAATTTGCGAGACATGCTTGACAGATTACCAAGACATATGCGCGTCACAGCTTTTTCTGCCTGCCCTCTCTCCCTCGCACTGGCTCGCCTGGGGCGTATTCATTATGCCGATTCTGTTGCAAACCGTTTCTTAAACGGAAGCAAACAGGGAGCAACCTACCTGCATTTGTCCAATAGAAATTCTAATTTTAGTTGCAAAAAGTGTTGCAACTATTTGGACCAGTGGACACCAACTTTTTGTGAGCCGTGATCACTTTGAGTCAAAATGCAGGCCGAGATCTACAGCTTTTTTTTCCGTAAGCCTATGCAACATTAAAGCAGCAAT